CGCCGCCTGCCCGCGCTGCCCGTGCGGGGGGCTCCTCTCCCTGTCCTCCGAGCTCCCCAGTGGGGGGTGGCCTTGCTCTCAGGGCTGCCCTTCCCCGTCCTCTGCATCGCAACCCAAATCAAGGGACGTGACTAAATGTGGGCCCCTGCCCCCAGTTTGTTCCGGCGCTAAAGTGGGGCCCGGCTCTGGCTGTGCCCCTGCAGCCAGCTCTCATTCCTGTGCACCCACATTCATGTCAACAGCCAGACGCCTCGAAAGCCGGATTGAACGAGTGGAGCCCAAGATCTGGACCGGGGGGCGGGGGGGAAGGGAACAAAACTGCCCTAGATCTCGGTCGGCCGCCTCCTTTGTCTCCTGGTTCAGTCCCTGCCGAAACCCACCACATCTGAGCTGCAAACAGAATCACTCTTGCATCTGCTCGCATGCAGCATTTACAATGTTTTGTGTAAGTCAATTGGGTGGCGAACAAAAAAAGCCATTTGCGCTGTATTATTTAACACAGACTTCACCGGGCTCCCTTCTTCTTCTTCTTCTTTTTTTTTCTCGGGGAAGCTTTATTTGCACTAAATGAATAATCTTAATTGCATCACTTGTGAATTAAAAATCAATGGTAATCAAGCTGGAAGTAGTAAATATCAGTTTTCATTGTGCCTGGGTGGAGGGTATTTTTCTTGTTTTGCAAATAAAAATACAAGTCAAATAACTTTAAAAGGGCATTATGTTCTGCTGCAAATACAATTGAAACGGATTGTTTAGGAGCGGATCAGAAATGGTACAGAATTTTGCACTTAATTTCCTCAGTTATCATTTACAATAAGAACCTCTTGGCTTGACAGCCAAGTCTAAACAGTAGTAAATTAGTACAAATTTATACTGATTTTACTCTAATAATCGTAATAAAAGCTTATAGATTTGGCACTAATTACATAAATGCCTAATGATCTTGAAAATTACTCTGGTTAGAAATATATTACTAATCTAAACTTTGTTGTTGGCTGGCTTTGAAAAATCAGAACATTAGAGATGGTTCGCTTCACTTGTGCAAAGCTCTTTAAATTGTTCGGGTACTTTCACATATTCCAGAGGAAAATAAGAAGCGTTTAACTTTATTTACTGTCTTCAGTTGAGTTGGAAGGCAAGCTGAACTTCGAAACTTCCACCGAAACCCATGCTGAAGGGCTGGCTCGGCTCAGCCCTGTGTTTCACACTAAGATTTACTTTTTAATCCCCCTTTTCTGAGGAGCCAGAAGTGGGTAGTGGTCTCCTCTGAGGGACCAGAAAGAAAGAAAGAAAACCTCACAGTGCAGCTTAGAGCAAGGTAGAGCGGGAGCGGGCGCATGAGTTTCAGCAGGGACCCGAATCACTTTATTCTCCGCTGTCTTTCAGCCAGCAAGAGCTACTGGGACAAATGATTTATATTGTATTATGAGTGATTAAATATATCCCTCCCAACCCTCCCCCCCCCCAAACATACACCTCAGAAAGATCCTGAAACTCAGAGCGGATCTGCCGAGGAAAAGTTCACACACACACACACACACAGAGCCCGAGGCAAGAGCCCACCCCACGAGCAACAGCGGCAGCGAGGAGGGTGGCGGGGGCCGCGCGGCAGGCCTCCTCCTGGCTGGGGGGCCAGGGCCC